AGAGCAGACATTTATTTTCTTACAGTTTTTGGAGGCTGAAGTCCAATTTCAAGGTATCAGCATGGTTGGCTTCTGGTAAGGGCTTTCTTCCTGGCTTGTATATGGCTGTCTTCTCACTGTGTCCTCACACGGCAGGGAGAGAGAATGTTTCTTCTTATAAGGGCACTAATCCTATCTTGAAGACCCCACCTTCAGGACCTCATCTAAGCCTAATTCTCTCTAAAAGTTGTCATTTGTAAGTACCATCACATTTAGGGGTTGGGGCTTCAGCACATGAATTTTGGGGGGACATAATTCAGTCCACAGCAGTCATTTTATCACATGGAACTATTTCTGGTACTAAGGCACTCTTAATTTCCATATCAAAAGTGAATGTTTTTATATTGCTTTTTCAGTAAGTAATAATTGGGAAAAGTTTTCAAAATCTCTGTCAACCCATGCGATATAAGGTTGATATAACTACTATACAAAAAACTCCTATAAATGTATCAGAAAAAGACAGCTAGCTTAATAGAAAATATGCTGAGGATATAAAAAGCAAATCAGTAAAGGCATAATGCAGAATAACAAAAATGTATGCAAATAAATATATGCAGAGATACTAAAATTTCTGGTGGTTAGGAAAATGCAATTTAAAATGGTGAGATACCATTTTTCACTTATTGGACTGGAAAATACTAAATAGTTATGCATTCAAAACAGGCAAAACTCTGCAGTATTTCTGCATATAGTTGGAGGTAGTAGAAATATTTTTGAAAATAATCAAGCAATATTTTATAAAATTACAATGTGCCTATCCACTGACCTGGTAATTTTACTTTCAAGAATAAATTGAAAATATAAACATCAGTATGCATGACTCTATGTATAGGAATACTTACTCTAGGATTGGTTGGAACAGCAATAATTTGGGAAAATAGGGTCATGGTTTAACACATTGTATAACTATACTAAAGAATATCTTGCAGCTATTAAAAAGTATAAATTTAAACATTTTCATAATATGCTGTCAACTTAAAAACATATCCTAATGTTTTCTAAGGAAAAAACATTTTATGGCTGGGCACAGTGGCTCACGCCTATAATCCTAGCACTTTGGGAGGCTGTGGTGGGTGGATTACTTGAGCCCAGGGGTTTCAGAGTAGCCTGGGCAACATGGTGAAACCCCATCTTTACACAAAAATGCAAAAATTAGCTAGTCATGGTAGAGTGCGCCTGTGGTCCCAGCTACTCAGGAGGCTGAGGTGGGAGGCTCATTTGAGTCCGGGAGACAAAGGTTGCAGTGAGCTGTAATTGCACTACTGCATTCCAGCCTGGGTAACAGAGCCAGACCCTGTCTCAAAAACAAAAACAAAACAAACAAACAAAAAACACCCCAAGAAAACCCCACATTTTATTTTGTATGAGTATAGAGAAAGAAATGGAAGGTTATATATCAAAAAATATAAAACTGGTTACTTCAGGAGGAGGTAGACAGGGAAGTCTATTTCTTTCCTTCCTTCCCTTCTTTCCCTTCCCTTCCCCTTCCTTCTTTCCTTCCTTCCTTCCTTCCTTCCTTCCTTCCTTCCTTCCTTCCTTCCTTCCTTCC